ATAGCTCGATAGTTCTCCATCAATGTAACTTCATAAAACAATATTTCATTCCTTTATGTCGGCGAAAACGCCAAAACAATGAAAAGCATAAACTGTAGCAAGAATAACAAATCAACAAGCAGCCCAGCTACATATCAACAAGGCAATAAAATCAATAACAATCAGCAATAATATCAAAATCTGCCCAATAAATGATCAAATTGGACAGTTTCTAACAATCCGCTCTGATATCCAATTCTTTACTGTACAATATAAAATGATCTTATTTCCATTGCTAGAATACTATTCCGCTTTTTACACCTTGTCTTCAGAAAAAGCTCTCAAAACACTTTCCTTCTTCGAGACGTCAACCAACTTGACCAGGTCGTTCGACGAGCCTCCAATGCAAACACACAGTGGCTACGTCTGGGTTAAATTGGGCGGCATGTAATTCGCCAATATGCTGGATCTCAGAGTACACTTTTACAATAGATCCGTCTTCTTGCACTTTCCATACACACAACATCTGAAAAAAAACATTTGAAAGAGAAAAAAAGCAGGAGAAATTCTAACGCATACCTGGTCGTGGCCAACAGTGACTAGCAAACCACGTACTGTGGCAGAAAGTGTCAGCCCTCCTATACTGCCATCATGAGCACGTCCTTCCCAAAGAATTTCACCGGGTTTCCTCATGTCAATGTGCCGGAGGCTTCCTGCAGAAGATTTGATGAACAGTGACAAACAGTGAAAATAATCATAAAATGAAAGAAATACGAACCATCATCCGTAGCAACGAAAGCCGAGAAGGGATTGAAATGGTTCCACCTCACCTGAAAACGAATAAAATAATGGAGGCTCAAAGGCTTTTATCAGCAACCCCGGCTAAAGAAGTGGTTGTCACCAGATACAGATGTCTAAAAATGTCCACGGAAGACCGATAAAACCCGTCCAATCAACATGCTGAACACCGCGGTCTTTCTCACAACCACTGCAGTGAACAACATGAAGCTACAAAAATGCAGTACCAGTGAATCAAGAGGAACAAACTTCACAGGAAGGATTTGCACAAACGCGATAAAACAAGTTGAAAAAAATTGTGCATCGAAATCAATGCAAAAACGAATGGACAGAGTGGACATTGAAATTATTGCGCAAGGCTATCATCGCCTATCTTTTCTCCCTTAGCGAGCTGTCGCAGACTATCTCCCTAAATGAATCGAAGCTGTTCAAATATTCCAACCCGACCTGAACCAGTTTAATTGCTCTTTAATTTTACGTTAAAGCGCCTATTGTCTGAGAGCACAATTACTCGCCAAACCCAGAAAACTGTCGAAGAAAACACTGTGTGTCGTTAGCAAAAACGTAACGGTTCGTGAGCGCAGGAAAAGAATGTATTATAGCATAAATATTCGTTGGCACGGACTCACCTGCTCCACTTGGGCGCCAAGATTCCAAACAGCTGAAGGCGAGCCGCTATTATCCCGACAATCAATCACTTCAACAACTCCACCAAGGGTACCAGTAAGCATGAAAGATTGCTCTGCCGGATGCCACGACATTGCTTGAACCTTGAAACGTACGGAAGTTTAGACATTTCAAATCGAAAACTCTAGGACACCAATGTGAAATTCACACCTCTGCATCGCGTTCTGGTAGGATTTGAGCTGCCTTTGCCTCGTCCAGATCCCAGAGAACGATTCGCTTATCGGCGCCTAACATTACTAGTTACTGTAAAGTAGAGAAAAAAAACTTCGAAGCAGATTTCACCCCATTACACAAGCAACATTCGAGCTCTGAAATATTATTCATTTCCAGTGCCCCCCACGCGCGACTATTTTAGGTAACGTGATAAGCATCTCATATTATCCACCCTAAAAAACGAGTGGGGGGTATCAATCATCATTAGTCAGTGAGCTTCCACAGCACAGAGAGCCTTTCACAAGAAAGGGTTATACAACCTTATCTAGGGGAGCATTCTCACAAACGTGTTGCGACTGTGAGCTTACAGGGAAGAATTACTGGAAACGTCGTCATAGACAGTGGCAAGGAGGTTGGAATGTTAAAACCGTACAATCGCGGAGGCAAAACAGAACATGCGCAATATCACGACTGACAAAGCATTCCCTGACTATATGACTTAAAAAGATGCCACGCTGAAATCAACTGGGCCCTAGTGAGAACGCCGTGCACACGATACATTTGCAACGCTTCATTGCCTTTACCGCGATGTAGGTGTACTGAACCACTCCAGCGTCTCGAGGGCTTGGGAAGTATGGTATCGATCTAGCGGGAGAGGAGAGTGTGGGAGTAGGAGCGAAGCAGACAGCTGGCACCCTCCTACCGCGCCCTACCCTCCGTCAGCAGTCTGCTACCCTCCTGTCGCGCCCTACTTTACCAGCTGCTTGTTACCCTCCTACCGCCTCATCCTCTTTACCAGCAGTCGGCTACCTTCCTATCGCGCCGTACTCTCCTCTCCCGGATGCTGGTAGATACTAGTGGACGCTGGCACGCTGGTGCACGCTGGTAGACGCTAGACCAATGTCTACACTTTTCCAGTCGCTGACGCTGCCGGGCACCAGAGGACGCTCAAAACGCTAGTGGACGCTGCCGCAAAGTATGAACGCAACCTTGAGTAGTTGT